TGTGCCCCAAATAGAGCTAACAATAATATATTACTAATCTGAATGAGGCTGAAAACAAATCATTTCAGTTTGTCACTGCTCAAAGATGGCACCTGAATCCCTGCAAGAGTACTAGGTCCTTTCTTTCAATTATTTTCACAGTGGCTGAGAAAGAAACAGAGCTATGGGTCAAACTATATACAGTGACAAAAGGTTAGCCCTGGCACACCACTCTTTCAAAGTACCTCTGGATTTTACATTTGTATCAGGAGGATTAAGAGTCCTGATAATGCTTCCTGCCCCTTTCTTTGCATTCAGAGATCCTCTGATACTAACTGATGGAATGTCCTCCTCCCAGCACAGCTGTAAGTGCAACAGACTCAACAGACTTTTTCCAGCCCCTGTGCCACTGAACCCACTGGATAATTTCTTAGCTTGTTTGAGGCCTTCCCTTTGTCTTTTAAGGGCATCATGCTGAATCAACTGTCCCTGAAGCACACACAATCCACTACAGCACGGAAATACAACACATGATTTTTCTGCTTGATCCCTATAGTCTTGTTTGTCCTACAAAAATACTTTATATATAAAACTTAAAATATTTATACTTAATTAAAAATTTATAAAAAGCTAAAAAAATGAGTGTCACAGACTACCTCAGAAATGTCAAATTATGTATTGCAGAAAACAGTTTCAGAGAACCAACATACCTCTTCAGCACAACATTCAGTAGCGCGTTGCCCACATCCTTCCCGGGAACAGCCAGAGCCATGAGCTCCACACAGGTGACGTGGAGAGCATGGGCAGCTGGGTTAGGGAACTCATTGAATCTCCAGTCACAATTTGGAAATGGACCAGGTGATTTGCCTGCCATAGGTGACAACGATTAAGGAAAAAAAAGCTGCCCCAACACAGACTAGTGTAAGCAGCACACTGCTTAAAAATATATGTATAGACCACACATACTAAGTTGAATTGAATTGAAAGGTGAGTTACTGAGAACAAACACAACAACTGCATTTCATAAAAATAAGACATAGGTACAAAAGTACGAATATAAAAGCAATGATACCCAATCACTGAAGGACTGCACGAATCCATAGCTATAAATATACTACATACACAAGGTCAGGCAGAGGATAAATTTCCCTTATTAAGAGGTGGAACAAAACAACACCAACCATCTCATTCACCATCTGCTTCCAAGACAAGAAAATGAAAACAACAAGAATTTTGTGCTCTGCATAATCTGAAACCATTAATTTGCTTCAGCACGAGATCTTCCAGCAGACTTCTAGGGTGACAGTTTATGCAAAATGAGCACCTGCTTAGTCTCTGAAAATATTCCACTTTCCCAATCAAGACTAATTCATTTGAGCAACATACAGAAAAGATGTCTGAAGACAGTTAATATTTGCATAAAAGCAGGGCTTTATGTAATTTTAGCTTTCTTTAGAGAGACTTAATAAGTTTCTTTCAAGCTACACATGAAACAAAGGCAAGTTCAGGAAGACAAGTGAAGGAAGACACATTGGTCAACTCCTGTAAAGATGACCTGGAAAGAAGATGACATCCAGGGAGAGCTCACTTTTCTCTAGAATGTATTTTCAGCAGCTATTTCCACAGGAATTTAAATCAGCTGTAGTCATAACTGTAAAAATTAATTAAAGGCAGGAAGTAAGAAAATGTACATTTGAGTTAAAAACAAAACTTCCATTTTTTTCCTCCTAAAAAACAGATTCTCAGCAGTTGCTAACAGCACACATACCAATCTTCAGCTAGACAAAGACAGTTACATACCGTCTTAAATGTGACACTGCTCACAGTACTTTATAATAATATTTCTAATGGCATTAGAAAAAAGCAGCCTCATTTTCTACATTTTTTCTAAATACTCATACTTTATATCAAGCAGATTTTCATGTGGCAATTAGAATTCAATTCATAATACATAAACATCACTTATTTGTATTTATAAGTGATGCCGTAAACAGTTTTTTCAAAATATTGCAAACCAGAAATATTTATACAGCTGTACTGTACTGTTTTCACCATCTTTCAAGATGTTTTTACTAGGGCAGCACAGTCTCTGCGTAGAATAATAAAAAAAGTACACTGAAGTAATCTAATGTGAATTTAGACTGCTATACGCAGCTAAATAAAGACTCCAGGCTTCATTTCTTATCTGAATTGAACTTTATATTTTGATGATATGAAGCTATAAGACATTGGCACAGTTTACTTAATGCAAACTTTAAGAAGGATATTGTCTACTAGTCTTCCAATGAGCTTGCAATAGTAAGTGTCATCAGGAACCCATGGATTTTCTTCTCGGGCATTCATAGCACATTTTAGATAAGTATCACTCAGACACCAGCCCAGCGGGCGATTGTCTTTGAGAGAGCCAATTATGGCATGAACAAGTTTTCGCTTGAGGTTCGTGCGCTCTCTGAGATGCAGCTCGTAATAATGAAGAGTGTTGTACAGGTAAGTCACTGGTCGGTCTGCCAAGAAGAAAAGGAAAACAACAATAACTTCTAGCATCACTATTATGTTTATGGTGGCAAACATAAAATCAAGAGCTCTACAAGACAAAGTTGTACGAATTTAAAAACAGCACACATGGAATTGATTCATGTTCTTTATTTCACTATATTCCGCAACACTGATTTTCCTTTGTCTTGTACATACACTTTAATGTGTGTGCAGAAGGGCAGAAGTTGAGCAAAGAAAGTCAGTATTACTAACATTTCGTATCTTAATGATAATACTTATGTATTTATAAGTAAACCATTTAAATCACCTCTTTGTATAAAACATATTAAATAGGAAGAATCCAGGTATGGAGTCACAGTAAAGAAAGAATATAGTAAATTATCTGGGCATAACATCGCAATGAAATCTATACAAAAACTTTTGTAATAAGTGCAGTTATAAAAGTGTTAAAAAAATCAGGTTAAGTTATTTGAATCTTAAACAAGGACAGATGGAGGAATTGCTTTTTAGCTGTTTCAGGCTTGGTAACAGAACGTTTGTTAGGACATAGTTCCAAGTACTTACTACTAGAAGGGAATGAAAGAGAAAGGTGTGAAGGAAGCACGAGTTAGTACGAGCTACCTGAACAAAAGCAAGTTCAGTTAGTAGGCTGAAATTCATTAAACAGGGATTGTACTTCTCTGTGGAAATGTACACAGGGCTTACAGAACAGGAAAGGATTAAAACACTGCTCTGCTAGTAGATGAAAATTAAGAATTAAGGAGATGAAGGAGAAGAGAATGATCACAACAAATATCTGTATTCACATATAACTTACCATGGAATTTGTATAAACCTCCCAGATGATCCAATAAAGTCTCCAGTGATTTGGACACTGGAAGCAATTCCAGAAATCTATGGATTACAATGTCAAACACTGGCAGAAAGCGCAGGCATACATTTCCAAAATAAATTGGTAGGTACTGCGGCTGGATCTGAACTGGGGGATTGACCTGCTCTGCCAAGCCTTCAAAATACAGCTTTTCAGGATATTTCTGGAGGGAAAGAAATCCATCAAAATCAAAAAATATTTCCTTAAATGAAACATTCAGCACCTACATTGTTTTAAAAAGACACTTCTTAACCCTCATTATCACATATTAATGCAGTGAGATGATTTCACTGTAAAGCTTACTGAAGAAAATTCAACTCTGAGTGAAATTATTTTGTTATTAGACTAGCAGATAACAACTTCTTCAGAAAAAACAAAACAAAGTTTCACTACCACTCAGAGTGGGCCTAAGAGAACACTAAGTATCTCAAGGCAAAGCTGAAAGCAGCCAGCGCGTATCTATCCCTTGTCAAGTATTTTAAGAGAAAACCTAGGGGAAATCAGAGCTACTGAAAGTTTCTGCATCATGTACTGAACCAGAGCACTAGAAATAATCTGCAGGTAGTAACTCCCTGGGAAAGAACTCGCGTGTACTCAAATACCAGGTGAGTATGGCTGAAGGCTGAGCATTCAGTGTTTCACCTGTGACTGAAATGTCTCTATGCCAGATTGGCTCTAGTAACTGTGCCACCATGACAGAGCACTTCCCAGGCTCATTTGCTTCCCTGCTACCCTTACACTCTTAGGCACTGTTAAGACACTGTATGCCTAAAGCAGAAGGCTAATACAGACCAAATAGCTTCTGTATCAAAACTAGATTGTTTGTGTTTAGCTACATGAGCATTTGCTTGTATCTATTTCATCTCAGTGCTAATTTATCTTTTGACAGAATACTCAACTGGTACATCTTTTTCTACTCAGCAGAAGCCACTGGGTTTACAGCAGCATTAAAATCTCAGCAGTACTCTTCCTTAACCTATCAGGATATCATGTTCTTGTCATACAGGAAATAGAAAAAGCTTTAATAATTAGGGGAAAACATAAGTTTAACTACTGTTATTAGTCATAAAACACCAGAAGGAAAAACCTTTTCCCTGATGCACAAAAACTTTCAGTTATAAATGAATTTCAGTAAAACCAAGATTTTAAAATGACTGGATTTAGATGAACAAGAATGAAGCTCCAACCAACTCTTCAGCTGCCCCTCTCTTTGACTATCACTACATTATAATTTTAATGCTATTACATAAACATAGTGATTTTTTCTTTTTTTATGCTAGCCCAAATAAATTTTGACTTACTAAGTAAATCCAAAAACTGACAGAGCTGTCCCATCATTTTCAGGACAAAAGACTCTCTGGCTGATCTTGATTCCACAAAACTATTACAATAAAAGAACTGAATTAACTTTCATACCTTGTGATAACTCATATGCTTAGTATGCCAGTCATTCTGTAGCCAGTGCTCCGGAGAATTCTCTTTCACAAAATCACTCACTCTGTTTCTGAAATCATTAGGCTTCAGTAAGAGTAACTGAATTATGAAGTAACAGACTTGAGCTTCATTTCCTTCATGACTACGCATAGCCTGAAACAAAATGGATCAGAAAACTTGGAATTACAGTTGACACTGCTGTCTGCTTTATCACCCCTAAACACTGGCTAGCAAATCTGGCTGTGCATTAGGTACATCTGCACACAAACTCCCACTGAACAGATGGTCTTTAAACTTTTTCAAGTGAAGACACAGAACAGAGGCAGGTTCAATCACCTCCTGTGAAAAACATTCATCACATTTTTTATGCCATAGGCATAAAGTCTCACAAACTCCCCAGCAATAGCACGCTCTCCAAGAATTCTAGCGCTCTTTTAGCTGTCAGTTCTCTTATTGAAAATAACCAATTAGTGATAATGAAGTTAAGATTGCTTCAAACTTCTGGCCACTCTGACATGTTTGGACTTCAGTTTGAAAACCAAACTAAAATTCAAACAACCAGCATTACATTAACATGAGATTTTAAAATATAAGTAAAGGAAAATTTATTCACTCTAGATGAGTTCTGCTTTATTTTGCTGGATAATTATTTTGCTTCCAATCCAAACCATTCTATGATTCTATGATTCTATAACCTAGAAAGACAGAGAATGCTATTTCTCTCCTACTTTTCTGATGAAACAGGCTGAATTCAGAGCAAAGAAAGTATATTCTATTGGGTACAAGATTTTCCACTTGCTTCTGAATCATGGCATGCCATACCCCTTCTACCTTTTCAGGCTGTGGAAATAACTGCATAGCTCTGAGGTGAGAGAATGAAAGCACTACTAACAACATTTAATAACACCAATTCAATGGTTGCCATTAATTAACCAAAAAAAGTTTCCCCTAAAGATTCAGAGAACTGTTAATCTATTATTTTACTTGATTATTGGGTTAGCAAATAGTCACTATTTAAAACCAATGGAGTTTTTAAAAGATTGCTCCTCCAAAAGTGACCCAGAAAGCAGACTCAGAGTGAAGAACTGGCATCTTACCTTCTAAGGCAACACTTACCAAACACAGAATCAACCTATCCAGTGTTACAATGTTGTATTTCCACACCATATCATTGAGAATCTCAATACATTTATTGAGCTGCTGGCCTCCTGCAGAGGTAGAGAATTCATACACCAAGAAATCTGCGAATGTCCTGACATGTGCCACCAGAGCTCTGGCCCCAATTCTTTCTAACACTCTGGTGGGGAAGAAGAAAATAAAAAAAATAAAAGCAACAAACAATTGTTAGTGGTCTTAATACATTTTAAACTGGTCTATTTTATAAGAGTTAGTGGGTTTTAATACAATTGTCTTAAAAAAAAAAAGACAAAAAAGCTCCCTTTATTAAATGAACAGAAGAAGAAAACCCCAAAGTAAAGCAAAAAAACCCCAAAAACTTAGAGTAATGGAATTCTGAAGTCTGGATACTAATCAGAACAAATGTTTCAAGTTCACCAATTCTTATGTATAGTATTCTATACCCTTGCTTTAGTTATGTATTTTTAGTTGTACACCTCTTAGGATAATCTTCTGCAACAAAACTTTATTTTCCTGCAGTATGTGTTTTAATATAAGCATAGTATTAAAACACTGGTATTTACTCACTGCACAAAAGAATAACATGTTCTATCATAAATATTAACTGTTTCAACAGACCTAACAAGGACTGAAAAGAAATAATCTATTTTTCACAGTTGGAGCCGATGCTGTTACTACTGAGAAGTAGTAAAAAAATGGTAGGACTACTACTTCTATAATAAATTTTCATCTTAATCCAACTTTTTTTTTTTAAATATTTGCCCTTTATTCGTGTATAAAGGCTAAGTAAATAAATGCTTTATATTTTCTGTTTACTATTTCAGATTGCTTGAAACACTGCCATTAGAAGTTAACTGTTTAACTCAAACACCTCACATCCTTGCCTCTTACCAGGAAGAATATGCACTGCAGACCACTGTGTGGTGTTACCAATCTTAAATACTGCACAATTTTTATGATATGCTCGCTAATACCTAGCTCCATTCCTTCTTTCCATGCTCTGATTTAATAAAAAAGTACAAATCATCCTGTGAATGCACAAGGTCTCTGTCCTCAGAACTGAGAATGCTGCTGTAATAACTCTGAAAGAGCACATCTTTTAAGCTCACCTGTAGCCAATTTGATTAATATGATCAGTCTCTAACAACATCTTCCATAGGAGACAAAGGAAAAGTGGGGGTGATCCTTGTATAGAAAAGTGTGTAATTATATCATTCTCATTGGTCATAGACTTCCACTTTCGGTATTCTTCTTCCACATTCTTCTTCAAGTTAAAGCGGCTTTCCTGAGGTACGTTATTCTGCTTGAAGAACACCTGAAATACAGTTGGCTTTGCTGTGACCGAGAGCCTAGAATAAAACACTTGAACAGGCAAACTTCTGCCTGACTTAGCACCTTATGAGTTCCTACTTCCTTGCACAATACAAACCTACCAGGTAGGGTAGGGTCGTTGCTTCACCATGACACCACCATGACTGCTTTGTCACTAAAAAGCTACATGACAAATTGCCACAAAAAGAAAAGCTTCTCCAGCTTCTTTTCTTTTTTTTTTTTTAATAATCTACCTTCCACTGGAACTATCAGTTGGCCAAACCTGGCATTAGAATACATGAAGAGAAGCTAGTGCATTTCTGAAGAAAGAGCAATGTTACAATCATTCTGCATTCTTTAGGGACTCGAGATTAATGTAGTCTGGCCAGGGGAAGAATCTGAAGACGTAGCAAAAGGCAAAGGATCTTATTAAGAGAGTAAATTCCCTGTATTTCCAAATATAAAATAATCAGTTTGAAATTATTACCTGCAGAGGAGCCGGAAAACAGCTTAGTGTATGTGATGCCCAGTTATGTGGAGTAAAACTCATGATAGTCTGCAATATATCCTTGCACCAAGTTCCCTGGATTGAATCAGAGCCTGTGAAAAAGTCTAGAAAATGGATTGATGATATTAGAATTTCACATTAAAAAAACATTTCTTATTGGCATTCCTTTTGTAGGCACATGCATCAAGGCTTTGCTAGTTCAAGAGGGTTTCCTTTTTGGCCAACTTCTCCCATCCCCTTTCTCTGAATCTTATTTACTCTATAGAACAAGCCAGATATTACATTTTTTATGCTATTAACAATAACAAAATTATTGAGAGAAATAAAGCAATCATGATTTTAAGATTTTATATTTAATTTCCTGTAATGACAGTAAGACAAGCTTTTGCTGATTAACTGATTAGACTTTAAAAAAGTCCTGAGGAAGATAATGACGATGAAATTGCCAGATGCAGTTTTATGTTGCTTTAAAAAGGCTGCTCAGCAGTACCTTTCCCAATTAAGCTGTAGAAATAAAACACAAGCCTCATCCCCTCAACCCCAGTGTTGATTTAACATTAAAGCTTGAGCAAAGTTTAAAAAATAAAAAACCTAACACAAAGAAGCCTCTTTCCTTTCAAATCACCTCCACCACTTTTTGTGAAACCAGTTGCTCTAACTCTCCAATGAGTCTCCAGACTAGAACCATAAAAAAAGGAGACAGAGGAAACGCCCCTCAAAGCTGACAAAAACCAGACCCATGTCATTGCACATTGTTAAAACATTAAACACACAATAAAAGCTTCCCCCTCTCCCTTCCCCAAGAACGTAAACCCAAAACACACACTGCTTTTTCTTAAAGGTAAGCTGTAGAGAGTGTTGTTCCACATGAGCAACATACTTGGTGTGAGCAGTCCATGTTGGTTTTTTTTAAATGGCATGTACCAGCAATCGATCCAAACACTTAAATTTAAAATAATGAAACTGAAAGTAAGTCAGTAAAAAAAACCCAAAAAACAGTCACACTGTATCTCTGTATAAAAATAAACTTTTAAACAGTTTGATTTCACTACTGCTTTAGTAATAGCTTTTTGCCTAAAAACAAGTAAGTGGAAATTAAAATTATCCTTTTTTCAAAACCAGACCTGTACGGGATATGTTTTATAACCAGGTCATTTCCATGATAGTCTATTAAACACTATTTTAGATAAATTACTACAGCTTTCACTTAGATGTTATCTCACAGTACTGCTATTACCTGTGACATGTGTTGCCCTTGCTAGAGTTAGGATCAAAGCCCTGTTGAGCTCTTCTGATTCTGCTGAAAGAACTGTTTTGGGATCACTGAGGAATCGTGTAAACTGTGGTTGGACTTCAGAGCTGCCCAAAGCTGTGATCAGCCTTAGAGCAGTACTCTCAACACTGAAAAAAGTAAACAGTTCAGTTAGCAAATAATCATAGCATCACAGAATGGTTTGGGTTGGAAAGGCCCTAAAAGCCCCTGCCATCAGCAGGGACACCATCCACTAGACCAGGTTGCTCAAAGCCTCATCCAACATGGTCTTAAACACTTTCAGGGAGGGGGCATCCACAACTTCTCTGGGCAACCTGTTCCAGTGTCTGACCACCCTCACAGTAAAGAATTTCTTCCTAAGATCTAATCTAAATCTGCCCTCTTCCAGCTTAAACCCATTTCCCTTTGTTCTATTATTAGCTGCCCTTGTAAAAAGTCCTTCCCCAGCTTTCTTGTAGCCCCTTCAGGTACTGGAAGGCCACTGTAAGATCTCCCCGGAGCCTTCTCTTTTCCAGGCTGAACAGCCCCAACTCTCTCAGCCTGTCCTCATAGTAGAGGTGCTCCAGCTCTCTGATCATCCTCGTGGCCTCCTCTGGACTTGCTCCTTTTTATGTTGGGGGCCCCAGAACTGGACGCAGGACTCCAGGTGGGGTCGCACAAAAGTGGAGTAAGGGGGAAAATCACCTCCCTCG